CGATTAGAACTGTTCTATCTGGTATTTTTTTTTTTTGGAGGAGTGGAATACCTACGCACTGACCACAATCCGGCGACCCAGAAAGTGAGTGTCCGACTCGCACGGACTAATCCAACTCTTCCTCATTCCTAGAGACTTTGTCCTACTCCGGGACTACGTTAGTATTACTTCGAGGTAGGGTCTCTATTAGTCATTTAAGACTTCCATCGGTGTGACCTGGTATTAGATGTATCTGGTATTAAGACTTCTATCTGGTATTAGATGTAATAGTATTGTTGATAATGTTAAATAATAGTTTAAATGTAATAGTAATAATATATTAATATAATATAGTATATTTATAGTAAATGCAACAGAAGTATCTTAAATATCAAAATCATTAATAGTTTATTAATATCAAATTTAGTATCAAGATTGTTAAGAAACTACAGCGAGAATCAGGAAGTTTCGTCGTTTATGAACTGATATATATGGCATGAGTAAATGGAAAAGATTTCTGGATATTAGTATTTTTTTAAGGACTTTTATCAGTATTAGTAAATATTATTTTTTGATCATTATATATCCAGAGGATATGTCCAACAACAGATAGCTGTCTTAAGTTATACCTCATTGCAACTGTACTCCCGAATGTTTACTATTTAGCAAATGTTTGTAGGCAGGGCTGGCTAACCATTTTTGGTTTTCTAAGCGGGCAAAATGACAAATTTTTAATCATGTATAACTGATTGAAGGATTGTGAATTTAATAAAAAAAATAATACTAATAATTTTTTTGTTTTCAAAACGAAATAAATATATTGCACTCTTCTTGTGTAAGCAAACATTTTTTTAGTCTTAAGTGAATTATACAACTAAAAAGATTGAAAAGCACTGATCTGATGTGTTCAGATTACAACCGCTCAAGCGGCAGATAGGCGACACCGTGCGTTTTTTACCGGGCTTAAATAATTTTTTATTTATTTTACCTTTATTTTGCTTATAATATACACAGGATTTATTATTTCTTGAATAATTCTAAACTTTAGTAAAATTCTAATTAAAATTAATTAAAATTTGTATGCGAACATGGTTAAAAAAAATTATATAAAATGATTATATATATATTAGGTATATAAAAAAATGCGTTTAATTATAGCTATGAAATTTGTGATATTTATTAAAATATATGTCTATTGAGTTGTGTGCCAAAAACTAATTTTAACATTTCATAATGTTCCATATATAATACTTTAAGTATTTATCCATTTTTTTTATAAATAATTGCAATTAATTCAATCATATTTTAGTAGCCATTACATGCTGTATAGCACCAAATCTTATTTATATCCATAGTGTTAAATTGAACCTCTGTGTTTCAGATCCATAACAACTAAACCATATTGTACAAAATTTTACAGTCTCTCATATTTAAAGATCAAACTTTTGCTGCCGCCGTTGAAGCGATAAGTATCGCTGTATCGTTGTGAGCGAGAGATTTGCTCAGGAATAAATAGAGTTTCTTAATTAAAAAATATCTCCCATTCTTTCCAAGCAATATAATTTCAGTTCGTTGAAGATACAGTTGAGAATCCGAATTACAATAACAATATGGATTGTATAGCTTTAGTACGTTATGCCACGCTTATGATGATGTTGTGCACAAAAGAGAGTTCTGAGTCCTGTTCTTTCAGATTAGTATGTTCCAGATCATGCATATAAGAAACATTTAGCTGAATTCCATGAACGAAACTATTTTCAACCTAAGATAATTAGGTCGTAAAACGGAGGAATCACATGGAGTAAACGTTTGCTAACGCCATCCAAGCAATAAGTATCGTTGTGAGCGAGGAATCTGTTCATGAAAACGGGTTTATTATATATATTAAGCACAAGAGGGAGATATTTTTTCCAAGCAATATAGTTTCCGTTCGTTGAAGACCCAATTGAAAATTAGTGTTACAATAACAATATGGATTGTATAGCTTCAGTACGTTATGCCACGCTTATAATGATGTTGTGCACAAAAGAGAGATCTTAGTCCTGTTCATTCGAATTAGTATGTTCAAGATCATGCATATACATTTAGCTGAATTGAATAAACAAAACAATTTTCAACCTATGATAATTAGGCCGTATCTCGTACTCTTGTCCATTATCCAATTAGTATTTCAATAGTTCTAATACTGTTTACATAGGCAATAGTTATTCTGCACATTACATGTCTGATTTAGGTAGTCTTTCCTTCAAAATCATATCGTTAGAACTACACGTTTGACTAACAATAATTTTTGAGTGATGAAAAGTAAGTGCGATTTGCCTTTAGTTCCAATCAAATTAAAAACGTGTCATTGTAATAATCTTAGGAGATAACATCAACTGTGTAAACAATATAAAAAAATATGTTCAAATTTTTATATTCACAAATAAGAGATTAAGTAAAATAATACCTCTAATTCTTTGAACTCTCTCGCCGACATTAATTTTGTATTCTCGAAATTTTTCATTCTCTGCTGATAGGGCAAATAGTTTTCTGTAAAGTAACCACGAAAAAAAGTTCTCATTATTGACATTATCATATATATCATATAGTTAAATTTCTAATTACGTATTTCGTTTAAGATATTTCAATATTTAAAAAACAAGTAAGTAAAGTAAAGTAAATCGAAGAAAATATATCAAGTAAAGATTTGGGTTTGCTACCATATGATTGCTAAGATATCAAATTAAATCTACATTGACATTGTTAAGATTGGGACATCGATTACCAGGAATATTCGTCGCCGTTTACCAATTTTACGAACTAATATAGAAGTGGACGAACAAACAAAAAATATTGTTAATAGGGAAGATTGTTAAGAAAGTACAGTGGGAATCAAGAAGTACAAGATCGTCTTCTTTTTGTCGTTCAAAAAAGGATGAACATTCGATAGAAAGGTATTGTCAATGGAATCGTTTAGTCTTGAGAGAGGTGTATCACTAGAGATTAAGAGGTTAAACACAAAAAGTTAACGACATTCTTGGTTCACTAAAAACAACGCGAAAATTTTGATTAAATTAAATTAAATATATTCTTTATTTAAATTAAATAAAATTTAAGAGGTTATTTCTAAAGAAAATTGTCGCCATTTGTTTAGTGTGATTATTCAATATCAATGCTATACCTTATGAAAAAGTTCAATATATAACAAATATATTAGTTTTATTTGGTATACATTTACTAATTGAATTTAACTCACCTTGGTTATTTGATTCGTTAACTACTTCATTAAAGGCTTCCTTTGCCACAGGTGATATCTTTGAATCCTCTATAAAAAAAATATAAAATATGCTTTTATATAAGAAAATTTTAATTTTTTACTTTATTTACTTGTTGTACGAGAATCTCTGCCATCCGGGAGATAAATAATAGCACTGCCACCAACCTTGTTGGAAGTCACTACCAATTATATTTCCACTTATAATAAATTATTTACTTTATTAAATAATATAACTCACCTTTATTGTCAGAGGGCATGTTATTTTTCTGCTGGCCTTAAAATAATATGTATTTAATAACATTGTATAGGATTATATAGTTCACAAACAAACTAGTTCATAAAAATATGACATTTAATTCATTTTGGTAAATCATTTAGAATACACAGTTAATAGTTAAAAATAGCTCATTTTAGAACAAATTTGCTCTTTTAATAACATAGTATTAATATCGGTAGATATTCGATAGAGGATATATGGGTTTATA